GCAAGACCTAATCTCTACTACAAAATAAAGAATTAGTCAGGTGTGGTGGTACGTACCTGTAGTCCCAGCTCCTGTGGAGGCCGAGGAAGGAGTATCACTTGAGCCCGAAGGTTGAGGCTGCAGTGAGCTATGATCATGCCACTGCACTGCAGCTTGGGTAACAGAGCAAGATGATGTCTCAAAATAATAATAGTAATAATAAGCTTTTCTTCTTTTACTACTGTAGTAAAAACAAAAAACACATACAACATAAAATTTACCACCTTACCCAATTTTAACTGTGCAGTTTAGTAGTGTTAAGATCATTCACACAGTTGTACAACAGATCTCCAGAACTTTTTCATCTTGCAAAACTCAATCTCTATATCCACTGAACAATTAATCATTTCCTGCTTTCTCCAGCCTGGGGTAACCACCATTCTACTTTTTGTTTCTAAGAATTGGATCACTATAGATAACCTCATTTAAGTGGATTATGTAGTATTTATCTTTTTGTGATTGACTTATTTCATGTATGTGAAAGGTAAAAAAAAATGAAGTTAACAAATATTAAAACTAAACATTAATATGTTTCATGCCACTGAACTGTACACTTAAAAATGGCGAAAATGGTAACTTTTACATATATTTCATCACGGTAAAAAAAAAATGGAAAAACACTCAACACTAACTGTAACAGACCAGTTAGAACAAATAAATCATTTCTTATGGAAAGGTGTTCTATCATTGACATAGTTTAGGATTGCTGGCACGTGGTAATAATAAAAAGCACTAAATTTAATCAATTTAATTATGATTGTGTTTATATTTTTGGCCAGCAGTTCACTTCCTTATTGCCTGTCCCCCAGGACTGACTGCCCCCCTCCCTGGGCACAACACTACTGCAAAATATGCCAAGACCAGGATCTGACAGCTTTACCATGAGGCTGTCCAGCAATGTGGGCTCCCATGCTCACATATTTAAAGTGGGGTTTTTCAGTAACTGTCTTAGTCAGTTCAGGTTGCCGTAACAAAATACCATGAAACTGGTAGTTTCTAAACAATTGGCATTTATGTCTCACCGTTCTGGAGACTGAGAAGTCCAAGATCGAGGGGCCAGCAGATTTGGTGTCTGGTGCGAGGTTGTTCCTTGTTGCACTCTCACATGGTGAAAGGGGCTAGCTAGGTCTCTGAGTCTCTTCATAAGTGCATTATGCCCTCACTGCCCAAAGACACCCTCTTCTAATACCATCACCTTGGGTTAGAATTGCAGCATATGAATTTGTGGGGGGGGTAGAAACATTCAGACTATAACAACCACCACAGGACATTTGTCTCCAAGTTTCTATATTCTTGATGCATCCCGCCATGAAACCGGCAGAAGCCATGCTCACTTTAATTGCATTAGGGAGCTCTCTTAGGAATAAACTTATTTCACCATCAGATTCACCAGAAGAGAAGTGATACGAGGTGAGGCTAAACAGATCTCCTTCAGGCAAACAAACATACTGATTTGTGTGTGTGTGTGTGAAAACATTCTTTTCCTTTAACTCATTGAACTATTAGGAGAGGGTAAAAACAGAACTGACTACTTTGCCAATCCCCAAGTCTTCACTGAATGACTCTTCAGGACTTTGCTGTCATGGTCCCAGCCAGTGTTTTTATTTGTCTGTCTTTTCAGAGTGGTGAGTACAGACAGAATATCTCCTCTGAATAGAAACAAGAGACCAGGTTGCTGCAAAGCCACAGCCTCTTATTAACAGTATCTAAGATGGAAACCATTCGTTCCTGGAAACTGAGGTGATGAAAAGACCCATCCCATCCTAAGCTAGGGATGGAGTATCTTGACCTCACTCTGCCAATCTGCCCTAGCTTCAAACTATAGTCTCACTGTGTGGCCTTAGGCAAATTACTTGGCCTCCACACAAAGCTCCATCAACTCATCTGTAAAATGAAGATAAAAATAACTACCCTCAAGGGTACTGTGTGTATTTGAAAAAACAGACAATGCATTTGGCACCTCAAGAAGTATTTATTCCAAGTCCCCATCCCCCTCTTCTTCATACTTGCTGCATACTTCAAAACCAGTATTTCCAAACACTTCTCTCTGTTCCACAAAAGCTGTGTCTAAAATCTTTCAGTGTCCTTCTTCTACCTGTAATGCCCTCCTTGAGAACAGGAACTCTTGGTTGTGGGAGACGAATTCTATGGAAAGGCTCCAGAACACATGTCAAAAAGGAAGTTTTAAGAACATGAAAATAACACTAAGTACATATAGCACACACCCTCTTTATAATGTAGAACTTAAAAACTGAGTGCCAGCTCAAGACAGAGCACAGGGTCCTTATATATTTCACACCAAGGAGGACAGGAAGTCTTGGAAAGCAGATCAAAGCAGACTTGGGCTAGAACAAGTTCAGGAAGATGTCAAGGACTTTGGAGTCTCTGTGCTCTTTCAAATCCTACAAATGGACCTCCAGTGGCCTCATCCACTGAGGCCCAGATTGGCCCCCCAGAGAGAGGCTATGCAAGGGATGAAGAATCTTGAAGGGATTCTGCCAATTCTACCAATCAGTCACTTCATGAACACTGTACTGGGTTTGAATATGGGTCTAGTTATCACGATACACATAGTAGGTACCCAAGTATTTGCAGAATACATGAACGACAATATATAACGGGCTTAAATGTAACAAACTCCTTTATGTTCCAAGGTAATCAGCCAACCACAATTGTGATGCTGATATTACAAGTATTGCTATTTTGGTAATTCACTGAAGATTTCTGAATAGGATATTGAATGCCTAATTGGAAGAAAGGGCTAATTGTGAAGGCAAGACTCCCACAAGGGAAACGTGATTCTTAAGACATACTTTGCATGAATAATGCTTTTTCTTGGTTGCAAACAATAGAAAGAGACTCTGATTATTTTAAGCAGAAAAGGGATTGGAAGGGTACAGTAGTTTGCAGCAAAAGTCTGCTCAGGAGGTTGCCAATAGCCCTCTTGCCCCAGTCACTATCACACCACCAGACCTGAACATATACAGGACCTCTGATCCTTCAACTTTGTTTCATGCTCTTAAGACTCAAAGTCCTGAGTGTAAGCATCAGTCTGACCACTTCTCAAGATTTTGGTCCCTGTTTCTGGATCCAGTGATGGGTGACTTCTTACTTGCTATTCTACTTCCATAAAGAGGTATATATTACCCTCCATTCTTCTTGGTATGAAGCAAGACAGTAAGGGTATTCTGACACTGAGAAGCCAAAAAACAAATGTCCCTTGTGCATCCCTGCTGAAAGTAAACAGCTCTAAAGAGCTTTACTCTCAGGCGGGCATGGTGGCTCACGCCTGTAATCCTAGCACTTTGGAAGACTAAGGCGGGTGGATCACGAGGTCAAGAGATCGAGACCATTCTGGCTAACACGGTGAAACCCTGTCTCTACTAAAAATACAAGAACAAAATTAGGCAGGCATGGTGGCGGGTGCCTGTAGTCCCAGTTACTTGGGAGGCTGAGGCAGGAGAACGGCGTGAACCTGGGAGGCAGAGCTTGCAGTGAGCCGAGACAGTGCCACTGCACTCCAGCCTGGGTGACAGAGTGAGACTCACTCTCAAAAAAAAACAAACAAAAAAAACCCCAAAAAACCTTTACTTCTTCATCTCCTGCAACTAACCTGGGTGAACTTTAGTTTTCCTGGTCCTACTTGCCCCACTCAGCAAAGCCACCCTAACCTATGCATCATTAGCATGGAGGTTCTGTCAACACAGAGAAGTCAATATGCCCTTTTTCAAAGTGGAGGAGACATTGTGAGAATCAGTGATGTATCCGTATCTTCAGTGTTTGACAACTCTGTTTTTCTCCCTAAATTAACTGGACAGACTCCATTAATATTTGGAAAAGTCAATTTTTAAAATGATAGTTCTATCATAGTTTTAGCTTTCAGAAAATTCGACTTACTTAGACATATATAATCTAGGACTTTTTTGGCAGGGGGAGAGAGGGAGCTTAAAAGCCCTCCCACTGTTTCATTACCCCTCTCCCATACCCAGCACTCAATTTTCTTCCCTCTGACACTTTCTGCTGTAACCAGATGCATTGTTTCACCAACTTACCCTCCCAGGCTTGTTTGTGTTTCACTGACTCTCAATTTGTTTTTGCTACTTTTGATCGTTAATTTTTTTTCCTGGTGCACAAGTAATTTTAAATTATGCAAATAATTATGAAATTAAGCAAATAATTGTGACATCTGAGTGCTGACCGTGTACTAGGCACCAGCGTAAGAGCTTTACATGCATCACACCTCATTTCATCCTCAAAATCTTGTCATTTTACAGATGGAGAAACAAAAGCCAAAAGCTTAAGCTTAATCAAAGTAGGAGCTTGAATTAAACTGCAAAATACAAGATTTGCTGGCAATAAATAAGATATCTTTATTATGATTACGTTAATAGTTAAAATTTGCATGTTTTCTAGATAGTCTGTTAACAGGATAAAAAAATACAAAAAGGTGAGGTTCTTAATGATTCAGCTGAATTAACTATAAAATTAAAATACCTGCTAATTATTTAGTATCTTCTAAAATAACACAAAATATATTCAATATGCAATACAAACCTCAGTAACCCAATTCTCCTAATATGCAATTATTTATAACCTCTGAACTAAGAGGACGTGGTTTGGCTAAACAGAGAAATAACAATGTTTTTATCCTAGGTAATCTATACTTTGGAGTAGAAATACTCATTTAATACAATATGTTAATTATTAATATTTCACAAGGAGTAATCTTTATTTTTAAAAACAATGTTAATTATACCAATTTTTAGTTATAATTTGTTAATGTGAATTTGCCCAACCTAAATTCCTGTGTGCCTGGAAAATACAACTTTTTAAAAGCTACTATTAATAATTTGCAACACAGTTTACTAATTCAAATTGACATCTCAACCTACTTATCTTTAAGGTACAGAATTTAGCATCTTTTTGTTGTTAAATGGAATTCTCATTAACAATGTAAAGCATTTTCCTTTCTAAATTGTATTTTATTCAATTATCTATAACAATGCCATATACTAGTAAGCAAAGCAAGCAACATTACTTTTTTTAAATAACATCTTTAATTAAAGTTTTTGCAAAGGTAGAATATTAAACTTAAAATAGGTCTTAGTACATCAAAATACTAAGTTCTCTAATTGTATTCCAAGATGGTCTTTAAAACATAATATCCCATATATCACAGAAGAGCAACCTTGATCTGCAATGAATTTTACAAACATAATAAATATATTTACGCCATTACACATAACAGTATGTACAACAGCAGTTGACAATAGTAGCTCAGAACAGCAAAAAGGATTAGCCCTGCCCCCCAAATCATAGTCCTGATGCAGACTGGACTTATTAAGGAACCTTGACTGAAAGAGTAATTACTAACTCAATGTGTAGTAACTTCCCTTAAAAGAGAAGAGAAAAAGTTTTGTTCCTCAAAATAAACAAAAATGTTAGTTTGGTGTGTTCTTCATTAAACCATAGACAATGACAAAAGACAGAGTAAGGCAGGCTTAAAAAGGGAAGAATATAAACTTCATAATCATTTCCATAGCATAATAGAGGACTAAAATGCAAAGCTATTTAACAAACTCATGAGGAAACAAATAAAGCAACTATTTTTTAACTAACGAATTCAAAATCTGCTATAGCTGATTCTGACAGGTAGGTGGAAGAAAGACATGAAATGAAAACGTACAAAGATGGATCAATAAACTATTACATTGCACAAAAGCTCAAAAAAAAGTTCAATATGAAATAATCGGAAAAACAGGAATTTTCTCAAGTGGAAGAAAATGCTAAGTCATAAAGAGAACTCCCAAGAGGAAATTACGTCTGTTTTCCTATACAAGGGGTATTCACCCTCTGGTAAGAATGGTGACATTATTGCTATGAGAATCAAAAATTACTCTTACAGGGAGACAACTCTTTTCATTCCTCCATAAAAGCCAGGAAAAAAAAAATCTTTGATTTTCACTACAGCAAAAGAAAATATTCATATAAAAGCTGTATGTTATTTCCTAAAACCAGAATCTATTATGCTCATCAAGCATACATTTTAATTACTACACACTGCTCGTCTTGATGTAATCTTAGAACAGAGTGGCTTTGCTTTTAAAAGAGGCAACAGTGTAAATGTGACATTATGATGACATTTTAATTAACAGAAAGAAATGTGAACATTTAAAAAATAGAAAAGCCCAATATAAAGATCCCCCTCATATAACAGACATTTTACTCTAGAAATTAATTGCACATTAAAGAGTTGTTTTAGCCATATGTGGCACTCCACAGAAATTAAACATGCTCTCAGGCATTCAAATGGTCTGATTACACAAATGACCACCAAGCAAGAGTTTGTATACTGAAAGGCACACATTTCCATGTTTTATCTTGTAATTTTGGGTAAATTTTCTTTAGCACTGTTAATGTTTTTTTAAGTAAAAGGTGCCATCACCATCTGTGCAAATCTAAACAAATCCTCTCCAGAAACCATTACTTATTTTCATAATACCAAGTCTGAACTATTTTCTGCCTTTAGATAAACATGCTACTTTCATTTTAAAATTCTCAAAGTGGAAATCCCTTGCCTTTTCAAAGGAATGACATTTCAATGGAACCTAATACGAAATGATTTGTTAAATACAATGTTAAAAGCATGATTAAGAATTCAAGTACAATAAAAGATAAGCAAGTGACATTCTTACAGCAAAAGCTACTATAATAAAACTAAAACATGCTATTTGATTAAAAAGGACACAATGCAAATAATATGTAAGAGCACAATTTGGTATGCAATGTAGCTTGGACCAGCCTTCAGAATTTTCACAGGTAAAAGAAAAGCATTTGCCAAGTATACCATAATTAATATGCAATACACAGGTGCAAATACAAAGGGTTATTTCCTGCTTCAAAAATAACAAAATAACCACTCTGAAAGCAGTGGTTGTTAATATTTGAAAAATAAAGTTATAAAAACAGGCCAGTAAACAATGCTACTATGAATACTAATGTTTGTCTACATAGAGGGCCCAAGACAAGCTGAGTATCATACAGTAATCCAAGTTTCAGTAGCATAAAAACTACTAGATAGCCAAAGGGTTTCACTTAAGCAACACTGCAGCACTGCTCAATTTTTATAGGTAGTTCAGGTCACTGACTTAAGCTTTATTGAGTAAATACAAACCTACTAGCAACTATATTAAAGAACAGTTGAACAACAGGACTTCTGTGATGTTACTCCCTCCCATTTCCTCTTCTCTCAGTCTCACTAATAGTAATATATATTCTAAAACCTCTGTGTGCTTTGAGAGTCGCAGAATAAACAAACTTCCCCTCAAAAAACTAATTAATATAGTCAAAATAAAAACTGTATTACCAGTTATGGCAGCTAAATAAAATCTAACTACTAGCATGCTAGACATCACCATTTACACCAAAGTTTAGAACATAATTTAAAGAGATCAAGGTGGTAAGCTGGGTGGGAAGTTGAAAAAAAAATTTTTGCCTTTTTTTAAAGTTAAAAGATTTGTGTTAAAAAAGGAATACTACATAATAGCTCACAGTTTTCTTCTTTGTACTGTACTTTAAAAAGTGTTTATGTGTTACTTCTGAAAACACAAAGGCAAAAGGAAGACAAAAACTGAAGATTAAAAAAATATATCAATATACAAGTAACCTAAACACATGTAAATTTTGTCAAGATAAACCATGGAAAGTTGAATTCGTTGTAAGAACACAATGGTGAAGACAAGCATTCCTGCAGTTCTCCCAGGCAGCGAATTCACACTGAACACAGCAGTGCCATATTGTTCTTCAGAGCCCCTTACAGAATACAGACCTATGCATTCTTAATATACATATTACATTTCTATTATTTTTAATATACAAGTCAAATTTCTATGCTTTCTTCCCGATGTGCAAACTGGAGCCAACGTCTTTATTTTCAATGGCCTGGAAGGGCCACCAAATGAAAGAGAGGTAACTTAGTGGCCCACCCACCTCTTCCCCCCAAATTTTCCCCTCAAATTACAAAGTTGATTTTAAAAACTTGTTGAATTAGAATAGATTTTTAAAATTCTTTACTAGTAAACACAAGAAACTTTTATAATTACTAAATTGTTTAATAAAAATCCAGGTCCTCACCACCTGCCCTATGCTAATCAATGCACAGACTGTTTACTGGATGTTTAGCTTAAAAACTAAACACATTTATAAGCACACACTTCAGCCCAACAGGAAAAGTCTACATATATTCATGTGTATACAATTTCAGCTAGATGGTATGCTTGCAAAATAAAACTATATTCCTGAGGAGCTAGTTTGGGGTTTCTTTTTAAGGTGTGGCACTAAAAGAAACAAATTAAGTTTTTCTGTAAGGAAATTAAAGTTGTCGTTTCAATTCCACTGAACTCAGACAAGACCCAAGTCTTTAATTACATTTAATAAGTATGAAAACCTAATTAAAATAAATATTCATTCCTGGGTCAAATTTTATCTCCAAACTATGATCACTGATAACTTTAAATCGTAAATAGATGTTTCATAAAGCTGGAAAGGAAGAGGTATATATCACTGAGGGAGAATAGCAAGTAAAAATATTTAAGACCTACTATGAGAGTTTTAAATTGTTTTCTTATACAAGTGAATTAAAATTCAACACAATTCTTACCCTTTTGTAAAAAGCTCACACGCAACTTTTACCAAATATAACCACATACAATAAGCAGTTTCAGTTCAATCTATCAAAACCGAAGTTTCTTCAGTTCATTCCAACAAGTATCTTCTGATTGAACCCAAGTTGGAGGAAGGAATATAGACAAAGCTTTACATGCTAATTACCGGTGGCAGGTACCTGTATTTAAAATCAACAATTATGGTTTTCCTACACAAAACCCCAACCCTCCCACCCAACAACCCCAGGTGCTACAGTTCCATGGCTTGCCAGTAAGTAGTGTCTATGTTGTCAAGGTCTATCTTTGTTCCAGTAGCTTTGCTTCTACTGCACTTTTCTGACATGCAGAAATTAAGTTTTGGTTGGCGTATGCCCCAAGTTTCAAACTGTCCGCTTTAAACTTTTTTTAAGTTTCTTTTATTTATAAAAGAAAAAAAGCAACTCTTCACCATTCTGCATCTCCAATGGCTTTGGAAAATATATAATCTCTTCCATTAAGATTCATAATGCCATCCTTGAGATGAAATTTCCATTTGTTTTTACTTCTGTGTATCTAAACGAAAGCAAAATTTAAAAAATTGAGAGATACAATCAGACAACAGAGAAAACAAGTAACAAAAAATCCATACATACACACACACACACACACACACGCACGCCCACCCACACCCCCCCACCTCAACAGAACAGTATTTACAGTATTGTATTTACAATCTGGTTTATTCTGTTTTTGCAGAGGCAGGGTCTCCCTATGTTGTGCTGGCCGGGCTCGAGCTCCTGGCCTCATGTGATCCTTCTGCCTCAGCCTCCAAAAGTGTTGGGATTACAAGCGTGAGCCACAGCACCTGGCCTAAAAATTGGTTTCTTAATAAAGTTTTTCACCAAAAAACAAAAATAAACACACACACACACCCCAAAAAAAAAAAAAAAACTCACTAGGTGGGTTTAAAAACAAATTTATCTGTAATTAGTACTATTTTATAGCTTTTAGTACTTGTGTTCATTAAAATAGTTAAAAAATATTTCTTTACAAAATGTCTTCTCTCTCTACCAGGTTTGCATATTTTCAAGGTCTACCTCCAAAAGACTATCCTCCACAAAGTTTTCCCAAATCTTACCAGCTAAAACTATTCTTTTCCACTGTTAAATTCCCAATGGTATTTTCACTGACATTTCTTACATTATTTGTTAAGTAACACAAGTACGGACTCGCTTCTTCTACCAAAATAAAACTCCTTATAGCGCTCTCAAGACCTAACGTGGAACCTTATACATAGCAGTATTTTAAATATATATCTAAAGGATGCTAATCATCCAGTCACTTACAGCAGATTTCAAAAACTACGTACATCCACAGTTAAACAAAAAGAGCTGAAGGGCAGGCTCTGGGCACTCCCATCTTTGCCTTCACTTATAGTCCTTAGTTGTTTGTAATTCCATGGATTTGGTGGGGGAGAGGAGTTGTAAAACTTAATGAACTGAAGTGACCTTTCTTCCTTTTCCCAGTAAGTCACACTAATTATTTAATGTTCAGTTCAAGTTCCACATCTTCTGCAAAGAAAGCCCCATGGTTCTCCCTATTCTATGATCTAAAGGTACCTAAAAAAAAAAAAAAAAATCAACTAGTTCAGGCTTTCATTTTCAGAAGAAGAAATGACAGCTTGGATAGGGTTCAATGGCTTGACCAAAGGTATACTGATACTAAGTGACAATCATGATTTTCAAGTCTTGGTCCAGTACTCTTTTTACTAAATCAGTCTGTTTCACATAATAATGCAGAAATGCTCAACAGGTACAGATATTTTCTTTTTCTTTTTTTTCTTTGAGACAGAGTCTCACTCTGTCGCCCAGGCTTGGAGTGTAACGGTGCGATCTCAGCTCACTGCAACCTCCCACTCCCAAGTTCAAGTGATTCTCCTGCCTCAGCCTCCTGAGTAGCTGGGATTACAGGCACTCACCATCACACCTGGCTAATTTTTGTAGAAATGGGTTTCACCAGGTTGGCCAGGCTGGTCTTGAACTCCTGACCTCAGGTGATCCGCCCACCTCGGCCTCCCAAAGTGATAGGATTATGGGTGTGAGCCCCAGCGCCCGGCCAGGTACAGACATTTTCCAAGATCTCATTCCTAAAATTCCATGGCCTAACCTCCCAGTGCAAACATTCTTTATGACATATTCCTGGCAAATGGTTGTGCAGTATCTGCTTAAATACGATTAGAAACAGTAAGCAAAGAATTTCAAATTAAGTTATTCCTTTTTGCAACAGCTCTCTTGTAAAATCTTTCAGAGTTTACCCTTACTGAAATCTGCTTCTCCAACTTCCATTTGTTGATCCCAGCTCTGCTTTTTGAGACTTTAAAAAAAAAAAAAAAATCACTCAATCAAACAACCTTCATCTTATCTGGAAACCACTCTCATGTTCTTCTGGATTCAAACTTTTCTTACTTATTAAAGCAAAACAAAGCACAATAAAGGTAAAACAGCAGGTAGGGCAGAGACTGCTGGACTAAGAGCTAATTACACCTCTGGTCTAAATACACTACGTAAATGCTAAATGTAGCATCTTAAGATTGATGACTTGAATGTCTAACAGACATACCAGACTTGGCATGTCCAACCAGCTCCACATGCAGCTTTTCCTCATCTGAATTGATGGTATCACCATCCTTCTTTCAGAATCCTCATCAAAAAATCTTGAGAGTCATTCTTGATTCCTCTTTCTTTTCTACCACACATCTCAGAGTCAAGAAATCCTGTTAACACTCTTCCTTCAAAACAAATCCAAGATCCAACTAGTTCTCACCAACTTTAATACCATCACCATAGGCTGAGTCACCATTATCTCCCATTTGAATTATAATAATATCCCCCTAAATAGTCTTCCTTGTTTCAGCAACCTCTGCTTCCTCCTCATATTCTGCTCTCTACAAAGAAAGCAAAGTAATCCTTTCGAAATTTAAATCAGTTCATACCATTTGTCTCACTGAAACCTTCCAGTAACATTCTAATTCACTTAAGAGTAACAGCCATGTCCTTACAAAATCCTTACCATCCACCTTCCCTTACCTCTACCTCTCCACCTACTACTGTACTCTCCCCTTCCCTCACTCCAGTCCAGCCACACAGGCCTCCTCGCTGTTCCTCACATACAACAGACTCTGCCACCAGACAATAGGGCTAACTCTTTCCAAGTCTTTGCTAAAATGTCATTTTCTCCAAAGACCTATTATGACTATCCTATTTAAAACTGAAACCAAACCTGTCCTCTTTCCCTGATCTTTATTTTTCCATACCAATTATCAGCTTCTAACATAATATATTAATCTTTTATTATGCTTTAAATAAATAAATAAATAAATCCTAATTTATTATGTTTTAGCTTCTATCTCCCCTGACTGGAGTAAGCTTCCCAACGGCAGGGACTGTTCTGTTTTGATCACTAGTGTATCTCAAGCTCCAAGAATAGTGCCCAGGGACATCATAAACAGTAAGTATTTGTTGCATGAAAAGACCTCTGTCTCCTCTTTTTCTTTGATTTCCTATAAAGTAGTATTTATCCTACAAACGTGTATATAAATGTATTTCCAGCATGAACCAAGTGACTGCAACCAGAAAGACAGTGGGCTTAACTAGCCAAAAACAAGAAAGTGATGAGCAGCCAGGAAATAGAGATTCTACAGACAAGTAAAGAAATTGACTGCATTTTGTCACACGACAGGACAATTTGCAAAAAATAAATGTAGGAAAGTTTCATGGGCCAAATAATCCACACAGTCAACAATGAAGTCATGTTGGGTAATAAATGAAAAATATTTTTATATTAATAGAAGTACAAAGTCACAACTAAAAAAGCAATCCATTTCCTGGCCCTGAGCCCTTCATGAGGGAATGTTCTTAAAGCCAGGAGAAAGCCCTCTTAAATTTCCTAATTAAAAATGTGTTAAAGCAAGTTTACCTACATCTGATGCTATTTTTGCCAAATGCTGTATCAGCCCTTATCCATCCACATGTAAGCAAGAACTCTGCCGTATTATTAGCATTTAACTAAGATTCTCATTTGATTGGCAATACAAGCTTTATTATTTCTTCTATGATCTCCTCTAAAATTGACTCATTGTTGACACTCTAAAGTTTAGGCTTCAAAACTACATTCCTGAAATTCAAGTTGGCTCAAACAATATCCAACCTCATTTTATGCAGTCACAGAACACTGCTATTCTTTACTATTGGCTAAAGACATCAAGTCACCACTCCCCTCCAATCTCCAGAGCAACTCATTTGATTCTCAAAATTAGACCTCTGCAAATTTTAAAATTATTTATCATTCAGCACACTATTTAGAGCTATTTTCCACTTATTAATTTAAAACACTAAAGTAATGTCTCTGGGAGCAAAACAAACCAATTTTAACATTTAAACTACTATAAGTACAGTTTGTGCCAAAGGAGAATACAACCATTGTCTTAAAGTAGGAAGACACTTAGAAGTATATTCTTCAGTCAGGCTAAAACAAAGGTCCTCTGTTGCCTGATAAATCTGACATCTCATCATGAAATTGTGTTCTGGATAATTTGGTTGCAAGGAGATCCTCTGAGACTTCCTAACAATAAAGATTTAATGGTATCTCTTGTTTTAACCTCATAGTCTTGCTCTATGTGTATCTAACAGGAAATTACACTTGTTATAATGCGCATGGTATATGGTTTTAAAAGTAGTCTCTCAGAAGTCATTATGCACAAAAATGAACGCTATAAAACTCTCAAAGACCTTACTGTCTTTATTCTATAACTTCACTGGTAAAAAACTAGTCTAACTCCACCTTTTTATTAGCAAATAAGATCCATAGTACTGGCATTCTCCCTATAGATCTGTTTGAAGTAGGCACGGCTACTTATCACATTCATTTCCATAAATGCAACAGAATTAAGATTTTCTTCATCTATAAAGGAAACTTCATGCAGGGCACGAATTTTACATGTTCATAACTACATCTCCAGGGCCTAGAATAGTGTCTGGTACATTTCTGCACTCTATAAATGTTAAATAATAAGCTTCTGTTAGAATTTTCATCATGTGGTAAAAATCTCTACTAAAATTATAAATGCAACGTAATATTTGCTGTATTATAAATTTAATGATTGCAGTTAAAAAAAAGTATTCCAGTTTAAATGTCTTAAAAACAAAAATCTCAGAAGTAATACAAATAAATCTAACAAAAATACTTAGAAAGCAGCACCCTGTTTAGGAATTAAGAACATAAGGAATCAATGGCTAGTTTTCACGGTATCTGGTTTAAAAATTCCTTAATGTGAGCAAACTACAGCAAAGTTAAATAATATTTTAAATGATTTTCAGTAAAAATGTATCTGTTTTTAGTACTGTTCACTGCCTTAGTCTTCTCCTTAATAATAACAGTTATAGAGATTCAACTGAACCCTCCTAGTTTTGAGATAGTTGAGGCTAAATAGAAAACAGAATTATCTCATTGAGTGAGCTATTACCATAAAGGACAACCTCAAAGTGGCTGTTTACTCTGCTTACAAGTTGAAAGACTGTCTAAATAGAAAAAGATCGTAGCTCTTTTCATTTCATTCATAACTTATTTGTCAAAGGTAAAGCTAAGAAATTAATCTTTCATTCTATTAAAATAATCCACAAAACTCTTTAACAGTGTTTTCATACTATTCATAATGAATTTAAGAGGTATGAATCAGCTGCGCAAATGTTTCGATAAGGCAGAAAGAATAACGTAGGGAAGAAATTACAACACAAATAACGTCAGTAATCTGAAGATGACATCCTTACCTTATCATATTGGCATACAACAACATTTTCTGTGTCAAAGAGTTCCTGTCCTTCCTCATCACTCACATCATCTTCACTATTGAGGGGCTCCTACAAATAAAAGGAGAGTTTATTTATGTATTACTATAAGAAGGCCTAATATTCACTGAAAAAAAATATAGTGACCTTGATGTTCTTTGAGAACCAAACGCCAAATGCATAATATGTACGTCATGAATTTAATACTGTCAAATCAGCTGTTTAACAGTTTGCCAATATTACTGAAATCTTGTAAGAAATTAAATATAATTAAATTAGTTAAGCTACGTAATTTGTAAGTCTGAAAAGATGTTTATGTTTATTTTCGTTTTTCTTTTTTTGAGACAGAGTCTTGCTCTGTAGTCAGGCTGGAGTGCAGTGGCGCAACCTCGGCTCACTGCAACCTCTGCCTCCCGGGTACAAGTGATTCTCCTGCCTCAGCCTCCCAGTAGCTGGGACTACTGGCACGCGCCACCACACCCAGCTAATTTTTGTATTTTTAGTAGAGATGGGTTTCACCATGTTGGCCAAGATGGTCTCGATCTCTTGACCTTGTGATCCACCTGCCTTGGCCTCCCAAAGTGCTGGGATTACAGGAGTGAGCCACCACATCCGGCCTATCTTTATTTTCTTTATTCTTTAAAAACAGTTCAAGAAGATAATTCTCCACAATAACTGTTTAAGATGCCTAGAAGAGGACCTAATATGAAGGTTCAAAGGAGCTAATGGCACTTTGTACTACAAACCATATAAAACAGGTAACAGTGGAGAAATTAGAGGAGAAAAGAAGGGCAATGCAATAGGCTAACAGTCTACCTTGTTGTCTTTACGTTAAAGAACCTGGACTCTAAATACAAATCAGCATGTTTAGCATGATGATGGTTATGGTAGAGGTATGAAGCGGAATTAAGACTCAGACTTTTTTTTTTCTTAAAGGCAGAAAGTAGGAAATCTCAGCATTAAAGAGAGTTAGGGGCCAAGATAAAACTAACTAGAGCATAAAATAACCAACCATGTTAAATTTTGCTTCAATTGAGACAGAAGATAAAAGATGTAACTGAGATTTCTAATAAATGCAGAAAGAGAAGACAAAACGAAAGTAGAGAGGACAATAATCAAGACTGTATTATGGACAGGCACAGGGGCTCATGCCTGTTAATTCTAGCACTTTGGAAAGCCTAGGCGGGACAATCACTTCAGGCCAGGGGTTTGAGACCAGCCAGGGAAATACAGTGAGATGCCATCTCTACAAAAAAAAAAAAAAAAAAAATAGCAAGGTATGGTGGCATATGCCTATAGTCCCACCTACTCAGGAGGATGAGGTGGGAGGATTACTTGAGCCCAGGTGGTTGAAGCTATAATAAGCCTTGATCACACCATTGCACTCCAGCCTGGACAACAATCTGAGACTCTATATCAACAACAAGAACAACAACAACAAAAAAGAATTATGTCTAGATATTCTTTAACTTAAAATAGGTATCATCAATGTAAAATGAAAAAAAATTTCTAGGCCGTGTGCGGTGGCTCACGCCTGTAATTCCAGCACTTTGGGAGGCTGAGGCGGGCGGATCACGAGGTCAGGAGATCGAGATCATCCTGGCTAACACGATGAAACGCTGTCTCTCCTAAAAATACAAAAAAATTAGCTGGGCGTGGTGGCAGGTGCCTGTAGTCCCAGCTACTCGGGAGGCTGAGGCAGGAGAATGATGGGAACCCAGGAGGCAGAGCTTGCAATGAGCCAAGTTTGTGACACTGTACTCCAGCCTGGGCGGCAGAGTGAGACTCCGTCTCAAAAAAAAATTTATTTTGAGGTAAAATTCTTGTTAACAAAATTCACCATTTTAGCATTTGTACATGTACAATTCAGGTGCAATGAACATTTATAGTGTATATAACATTCACCACTACCTAGTTCCAGAACATTTCATCACTCTTACCCATTCAGCTGTCACTCCCCATTCTCCCTGTCCCCTGGCAATCTATAATCTGCTGTCTGTATGGATTTGCATTTTTCATATAAATGGAATCATATGATATATGGTGTTGTGCGGCTGATGTCTTTCACATAGCATGTTTTCAAGGTTCACCCATGTTGCAGCATATACGAATACTTCATTCCTTTTTATGGCTAAATAATATCCCACTGTTATCAGTGCATTTATCAGCTGATGAACATGTGGGTTTATACCATTTAGGTATCATAAATAGGGCTGCTATGAAGAGTCATATACAAGTTTTTGTTGAAAAACATATTTTCAGTTCTCTTGTGTATATAGTTAAAGAGTGGAACTGCTGGGTCATATGGATAATTCTATACTTAATTTTTGAGGACTATCAAACTGTTTTCCACAGCAGCTGTACCATTTTACATTTCCACCAACAATGCACAAGGGTTACAATTTCTCCAAATCCTCACCTACATTTATTTTCTCTTTCTTTTTTGAGTATAGCTATTCTAGTAGGTGTGAAGTGGTTATCTCACTGTGGTTTTCATTTGCATTTCTCTAGTGACTAATGATGCTGAGCATCTTTTCACATGCTTGTTGCCTATTTGTGTATTTTCTTTGGAGAAACGCCTATTCAAGTCCTTTGCCAGTTTTTAACTGCGTTATCTTTTTGTTGTTACACTGTTTAAGAGTTCTTTATATATTCTGGATAGTAGATCCTTATCAAATACATGATTTGCAAATATTTTCTCCCAGCTACTCAGGAGGCTGAGGCAGTAGGAACACTCTAGTCCCGGAAGTCAAGATGCTGAGGCTGCAGCGAGCCACAATCATGCCACTGCACTCCAGCCCCAACAGAGTGAGATTCTGTCTCAAAAAACAAAGATAAAAAACACCTTTTTAATCTACAAAGTCCACTTTTTCTTTGATTGCTTGTACTCTGGGTGTCATGTCTAAGAAACTGTTGCCAGCGGCTGGGCACAGTGGCTCATGCCTGTAATCCCAGTACTTTGGGAGGCTGAGGCGGGTGGATTACAAGGTCAGGAGATCGAGACCACCCTGGCTAACATGGTGAAACTCCATCTCTACTAAAAAAAAAAAAATACAAAAAATTAGCCAGGCATGGTGGCAGGCACCTGTAGTCCCAGCTACTCAGGAGGCTGAGGCAGGAGAATGGCGTGAACCCGGGAGGTG